TGAGGTCGGATGAGTCGCGTGGCAAAAGGGACTGACGCAAAAGTCCGAAGGATGCACTTCAAATTTTGATACCTCAAGCAGGGTGTTCATCCATTCCCGCTTGAGCATGACAGTGAAAAATCAACGAATTTGTTAATTCATTAAAAATAAGAGTATCAGATATAAACGATTTTATGAGTTATTAAGAAAAATATTTATTTTTCCAACGAAAGAATGTCTATCAGAATTGAACGGATTTGCCTTGATTTATTCAACAACATCGGATATCAGGAAGGACAAGAGAAATTTCATACAAGTTTTTGAAGCAAATTTACAGCTTAACTAAGGACATTAAGGATGGCAATTTGAAAGTTGTACATTATGAATTGTAATGGGAGAAAACTGATTTTTAGTCCAACTGATTTTTATAATTGAAGTTAGAGTAAAAGTTAGTTAAGGTATGTTTGGATAGGTACTTTTAAAAAATCAATTGAAAAAGTTAAAAGTTGTTTAGATGATTAATAAAAAAGTTAGTTTAGTTGTAAAATGAAAAATAATTGAAAAGTTTATGTTTTTAATATGATAATAGTTTAAAAAAATACATAAAATTATTATAAAATATAAAGTTTATTTGTAAAATTATAAAATAAAAATATTTGTTACGGAAAAAAAATTTAAAAATACATTTTAGATAATTAATTATAATTATTACCGTTTGAAACTACAGTTAGAAAAGTCAAATTTTTCTCCGTTGAGTCCAACTGAGATTGAAGGCTAGAAATTGATTGGAAAAGTTAGCCCAACCAAATAATATTTTTTGTCCTACTCAGTTTACAATCTCAATTTTATCATTTTAAAGACATTTTTATCGTTAGAATTTAGAAACGGCAATCTAAACATGCTCTGATACGCTGTGCCTTTTGGCTTCTCATAAATAGAAAGCAAAAAAAGAGAGTAGCCGAAAAGAGAAGCAAAAACAAGGGTAGAAATTGGAGGGAGGAGGCAATAATGAATGCTTCTTTTACGGCAAGAGACAAATAGGGACCCTACCTTGATGTTGGACCATAACTTTTGGTGGAAATAATGCCCTTTCGCATTTGTGTTGCTCTCTTTTGGCTGCCTAATTTTGATTGCAATCAATTGTCACTCAGTCTTCTACTTCTTGTCTTTTTACAAATTTTTTCTGCCAAAAAAAGAACCCATAAATCTCAAGTAAAAAAATAAATAAATAGAGAGTTCAAATAATTCAATCCTTTTTCTTTTTACAAATTTTATAATCATGATTTATAAATAACATAACTCCACTTATAAATTCGAAAGTTTAAGTTACAACTTACAAGCATAACTTGATTAGATTTTATTTGTAAACATACAAGTTTAATTTTTATATATATATATATTCAAAATTTATTTGTAGATATGAATTTTTAAGATCTTTTTGTAAATAGGTTTTCAAATATATAAATGTAAATAGTACTATTTTTTTAAATCTAGCTACAAATGTAAGGATTTTATTAGTGAATCATTTGTGAGCATCTCCATTCGTATTTATTGAGTCTAAAGACATATCTTGAACTCATTGAGCCCAAATGATTTAATTCATCTGAATTTTTTTTGTTATAAAAAGTATTTTATAAATTTTCTTACATTTTCATTCTATATCAAATTATTTATCTTTAGTCTGAAAAACATAATTATTCCTAATTTATGGAATATATATTTTTTTGAAAAAAAATATTACAATACCTTACATAGCAGCATCTAATTTTTAATTTTTGACGTTGAGTATATAATTTTTAATTAAACTATATATTTTTTAATTTTTCAGAAAACTTTAATGAAAACATTTAAATTATCATATACTGCATAATGCGTAAGGTACTTGGTGGGACAGTTGAAAAGGAGCTATCACGCAACTGGCAACAACTAAGCGTATAATATGTAAATAAATAAATAGAAATAGACACATTAGTTTAATAAATTTAACCATAGATTTACTAAAAGGCTAAGATGCATCCACCAAAGTATTTTATTAAGTACATTTATTATCCTAAAATATTTAAATACATTGAGCATCTTAAAATACTACCTCCAGTCCTTAATATAAAACCCTGTTTGACTTTTATTTTGGTCCCAAATATAAGATCCCAATCCACTTTGTCTATCATATTTATACATTTTTTTTCAAGTAGTCCTTCTAACAATGATAGTTCTAGTCAATACACTTGATTAGCAAGGATATTTTAAGAAAGATAACACCTATTTAAGACAAATAACTAACTCAACTTATTTCCTTAATCTCCTCAAATTAGTCAACTAGCTCTTATAATTAGGATCGGAGGTAGTATTTTTTTTAAATGCATCCAATGTATAAAGTATTTTTTATACATTTAACATCTTAACATATTTTTTTTAAATACGTTTAATATCCTAAAATATTTTTTGATACACCGAACACGAAGACAAAAAGAAAAATTTTACGATATTGAATGTACCTGGAAAATACTTTAAGATGATAAGTGATAGATATTTTATCATGGTTTACTTCTTATTCATGACTTAATGTGAATGTTCTTTTACCCAAAGAAGATAAACTTTTGAAGGAAGGGACATTTTATTGTAGGGATAAGTTAAATACCCCAAAAGAATTACAAAAGAGCACTTAACATTGAAATTTTTTTGTTACTTTTAAATGTTTTGTAAGTTTCATTTTGTAGTATTTTTGCCTTGCACGATTATTCGTTGTTAAGTTTGACTGTTAGAAATACTAGTCAAATCGTATAATTTAACAGTTAAATTTAATGATAGATAATGATCAGGATATTTTTGCTACGAAAATAAATTTTCAAGATATATAAGAGTCAAAAAGAACTTTCAAGTGCTTAGTGCTTGTTTGTGGATATTTTCTGGGTATTTAAACACCTTATTTCTTTCATTATATCCTAAAATTTTGAAATATTAAGAAATAAATATATTTTTGTTTGCAAATTTAAAAAGAAAAAATGACAAAAAAAGAAGTTGAAAATTACAAAATGTCAAATAAGAAATATCAACAAAAATTTATTGTCATTGACAAATTCAGTATTGTCAACACCAAATAAAATGTTTTTTGGAAAATGACCAAAAAAAATAGAAATTACAAAATACAAAATAAGAATGTCAACAAAAATTTATTATCATCTGTAAATTCAATGTTATCAATACTAAATAAAGTGTTAATACCAAACTTGATTTAAAATTAAATAATTTTTATTTTTATTTTGTTATTTTTAATTTAAAAATAGGGGGTTTTTTTTTTTGGTGCTTTGAACAGGAATACTGCTGCTGCAAATAGTAGTAAAATCGAATATGAAGAAAAAGGGGTAGAGAGTTGAAAGGGGCGTGAACGTGAATGTTGGCGGAACCTGTCACATGATGTTTGTCAGCTTTATTTGCAATACTTACATATCTCATTGGATTGCCTCTCTCTCCACGTGATTTCTGCTCCCTCCGCCCATTTTTGTCCCCCTCTTTCTCTTTTCTTTTTTTCACCTTTTCTTTGATATGAACATTATCGTTTTTTATTTGCTGCATGCTGATAACGTTTCAAAGTGACATTGAATTTAAAGCTTTTTTTTTAAAAAAATAAATTTGAACGGCATTAATGAGTTTTTGCTTCTCCTAACAAATACGCTTTTTAGAATTAGAATTTTTGATCTCTTTTTTATAACAAAATTTTTTTTGGGCCAAAATTTATAACAAATTGACTGCTGCTGTATAATAAATTCACAGTTGCATTTATAACCATGTTTTTGAAATTGACAACTACTGGATAAGATATTAACAATCATCCTTAAGAAATTGTCAGCCTTTTTTAATGGGTTGGAGACTGCATTTGTATACATATACACATTCATATAGAATAATTTGTATCATAATTTTAGATGTATCAGCAACTCAATGATTATGGGTTTACTTGGAGCTGCTTATATCAAGTCTTGTAGAGACATTTTTATAAAACGAGATAAAATTTTCCTCATGTAATTTATATTATCTCAGTTCTTAATATAAGAGTTAATTAACTTTCAATTTAATTTTAAATATAAGACTTAAATTCATTTTGTTGCTCATACTTATTTATTTTTTTTAAGATAGTCCTTATAATAGTTCATATGTTAAATGTTTCATTACATGGTAGTTTAAGCTAATATATAATTAATAAGAATACCTATTTATTATAAATGATTAACTTAACTAACTTTTTTAATCTACTCAAATTAATCAATTAGTTTTTGGGAGTGATATTACTCCTCCAGTCCTTAATATAGGACCCAATTGTTGAGTTGGTTTTGGTCCTAAATATGAGACCCATTTATCATATTTATCAATTTTCTCTACATTATCCCTATGAATACTCCCTCAATCATAATTAAATAGAAGAAGAAGATGAGGTATTAATAAAGATGATTATAGCATTTTAAGAAAAACGTATCATATTTCTTATAATTAACTAACTTACCTAACTTTCTTAATCTAATCAAATTAGTTAAATAGGTCTTATATTAAAAATCGAAAGAGTATTTCTTAAACTCACGACTAGGGCTTTGGGATGACAGGATGAGCAGCTAACAGTGGGGGCACATCGAAGCGGATGACCATGAACCAGAGATTTTTTTTTTTTAAAAAAAAAACTTTTTAAAGTACAGATATTTTGATAAGTGTACATAAAACTTATTTACATTTAAAGTAAGACTTTGGAGTATTTTAGATGCTGTGCTTGAAGTAATTTTTCCGCTAAAGTTGGTGACAGAACAAGCGATGTGTAGACCCATCAATCCTAACTTGGACGGGTCGAAACACTTTTTCAAGTATTGAAAATTTCTTAACTTGCATGATTGACAATTTTCTAGCCATATATCAACGATAGGCACAGTTTGAAATCACCTATAAATACATTTCATACAAATCGAGATAAAATTCTTCATTCATACTTCATATTTCGTAAATTACGGCTAAAAAATTACTCATAAAACATTCCAAACAGGTATAAATGAGCACCTGAATTTCTTCCAACATAAAAAGAAGGTACGTAAATGATGCTCATAACTGCAGAACTTCATTCATCACCCAAATCAGTTATTTCACAATTCACATAATCAATATATGGGCCATCAAAGTGCTTATTTTCTCAATTCACACTCGCTGAGGGCTTAAACAAGGAATGTGGACACATGAAGTTCATGACACCATCATCAAAAATACACACTTGCAGTTCTGTATGATGCCGCTTTCTTTAGAGAGCTTATTGAGATTACAGTCGTCATATACGTCCTTCCGTTCATAATCATACACTGGTGCACTTTATTACGCTGCCCACACAATGCGCTGGTTTCGCCATTTCCCTCATACTGATACTTCTGCAAAGTCACAATACAAGTCAGAAACCTCTCACAGAATTTGGTAAATGATCAGTGTGCCTTGCATCCAAGTGAAGCTTTTTTTGTTTAAGCAATGTTAGGGATAGCAAGAACATAGAATCCAAGAAGATAAAATCAAAACAAAGAATTAAAACACAATTTCAGCATGACTTATAATTCAGAAAAATTTGGTCCTTAAGAATATACGGTTAACTGCAGAATCACCAACCATGAAAACAAGAAGAGCTTGACTTGAATAAAAAGGAACTTTGACATTGAAGCTTATCCGTTTTTCTTTATACAAGTATCCTGCAAAGACAAGACAGGTGAAGCGATTAGGACAAACTGCGGCCAAACTTCTAGACCTTTATAAAACCTGCAGGAACTAAATGATGTTTGTATTTGTTAGTGAAGACAAACTTCAAACCATGCGTAAGAGTAAACCAAGTAGTCATCTGAGCTAAATAAATTGTCGGTTTAGATGTCGCCGCTGTGAGTAAGTCTTAAAGTCAAAGGGGAAAAAAATAAATTTAGAGAAGGAAAAACATAAAAATCCTCAACAATAACCAAGAAAAAAAAAGAATTTTTTTTTTTTTTTTAAAACTAGCATCATAAGCATAATCCACTTAGAGAAGGCATTTTCATACGAAGAGAGACTACAAGCTTAGAAACTTACATGAGAACGTATGAGCATCACCCTTCATCTTAAATGCATGTTAGAAAGGAAATCTGATAGCCTGTTCGCCCCATGTTTCAGTTAGTAAAATTTTTTGCATTAAACAAGTTATAGGAAGAGAGGACAGGTCAAACGGAGCAGAGCAGAAGATAAAATAAGTAATAAAATGGAAAAGCAAACCTGACGTCTTTAGCAATCACAGTGTTGCCATCTGCAGCCCCAAGATGCCTCAGAACTACTTGCTCAAGTCTGCCATCTCGGTAAGCATGCTGTTAAAAGAGAACAGAGGTGAAGGCTACCATCAATTTCTAAACATCACTTTAAACTTGAGCATCAGAATTAGTATGGGCCAAAGTCAGGACATCATCTAAGCATTTCTATGGACTGGTGCATGGGAGAAGTAGAAATCATATAGGTCCTAAACATTAGACCTAATTTGTAGTATAATTTACGTTACGAACTAGCTTTTATATTTATGACTAGAGGTACTACCACAAAATAAAACCTCATGTCTATATCTAATTAGGAGGTAAAATATCAATCACTTAATTATTCTATTCTTGTATCATAAATCAAACAAATTTGTTTTGCTTAGAAAAATGGATTGAATTTGGCCTTTGTTCACGAGGATAAATTAATAATGTCAAGTCTCAGGACCAAGAAAAACCAATATTCCATATATACAGGTTTAATGACTTTTTTCTTTTATTTTTAGGGGAAAAGGCCAATAAACAAAAAGAGCGTACAAAAAATACTACTAATAACATTCATAAATTACCTTGTAAAAACAGCTAGTACCAAAAGGGCAGTTTCCATTCCCAAAGTCAAAATGCTTGCAATCAATTGATCTACAAAGAGCAATCATTAGCTACAACACATGCCCGCGCGCACAGAGATATTAATGTTCCAACCAAGAATCATCATGTAAAATCAGACTTTGCTTACACATGCATACCAATGAAGAATGAGAGGTGAAGTAGAATTACCAATAACCCCCCATAGATGAAATATGCAATTGTGATTCGAAGTAAAAACACCCCAATCTAATTAGTGATCTAAGTCATAGATTGATTACAAAAAACCTGTGGTTTTAGAGTGTGTGTGTGTGTGAGAGAGAGAGAGAGAGCATTCTTCAGTAGTTAAGAAATTACTTGAGCTTTTCCTTGTAGCTGTCGATGATTTCCTGTTTTTCTTCCGTTGTAGAGTACCAAATGACACTTGGAATCACAAAGTAAGAGAGCTTACGACAAATTGGACAGGCCCTCAATGTGGTATTCACGTCCATTCCCAGAGTTGGGTTACTATTACGCCAATTCCTAATACAAGATATGCAGAAGGGATGATCACACTCAGAGAGCAGCCCAAACTTGCGTTCAGCTGCAGTGGGCTTGGAAAGAACACGCTCAAGGCAAACACTGCATTCAATTTCTTGACTTCGTTTCAAAGCCTCAAGATGCTTTTGCTTTTTTTGGCAAGCATTCGTATGTTCCTCTCTTTCTTCAGGTCGAAAAGGATGTAAGCAGTGCTTTCCACAGGTAGGACACAAATCTCCGTGAATAAAAGGGCATTTCTCCTTCCTAGGACAATTACCAGCAGCAGCAAAAGAACAGATAGGACGCTCAGAAGGATCATTAATTCTGGATTCACTGACATCACTATCCTCTAAAAAATCCTGATGCCCAGGTTCTGGATTCCAAGCTTGAAAATAATCAGGAATATGAGGCTCAGATTCTCCATTCCATGCAGGAATAATAGGAAAGGAAGGTCCACTACGAGTAGTCAATTCAGGAATTGTAGCAGCCCCATTTGATGCAACTCTAGTACTACCAACTATAGAAGAATCTGAATTTAGGGGGTGTACACTGGCAGAAGAAGATGGATGATAGGACTGTTCACGGGAAGCTTTGACATGGTCATATCTGCAGCGACTGCCATAGGCACAGGCTCCTTTCTGATAAAACGTACATATCTGTCAAAACAAGACGAGATGCAAGCAGCAATTAAGAGCAATGTATATCACCGAATATTTAAAGGAAATCACTGAAGCAAAGAACTTGTATCAAATACGTTGTTTGGAGGATCTTTCCAGTCATGAGAAAATTCACAATGCTCCCCCTTCAAACATGCTCCATGGGCAAAGAATTTGCAAAGAACCCTAGAGGATTCAGAAAAGGACAGTATAGAAGTTAGAATAATATGCAAGCTGAAATAGAACGACATACCATCTCAAAACAGGGAACAAGAGCATTGATTGTCCCATAAACTTCAGAAAACAGGGTCAGAATTAGAAATAGTTAGACTCATATCCACAAAGAAAGACACCGTGCGCTAGTTAAAAGATTAATTCATGGCGAAAAAAAGACGTCCAAGGCCAACTATAAAACTCATAAACAAGAGCAACGAAATCAAATTCCACCCCTGTATAGAGTTCTGAACATTTCCTAGCAACCGAGGAACATTTTTGATATTCATTGGCTATTATGATAAGAATTAAGTAAGTCGGATTGTACACAACAATAAATCTACAATTTACCTACAGCTATTTGCATCGAACAATAGCTTCCCAAAATCAAAAACAATAAAAGGAAAAAAACTTATGCCTTCGGAATAATTTATGGGCCATAAATCGATTGAAAATTTTCCCGGTGTAACATAATAGCACAAACTTCGGGCGAATTGTTATCCATTTTGCATCGTTTCTTGGCTTCCCTGCATTTGACAATCCAACAAGCCAAACAACCTAACTTTCATGGTCAATACTCATTTCATACACGCTCTTTTGTTCATAAAAAGATTCAAAATCTCACTCCTTTTTCATTTCTATCTGAAATATGGAAAGATTACCCAACCAATAAGAAAAACTAAAGTGTTTCCTTCAAACACCAGAAACCAGAAATAAAGAGAACCAATGACACAAACGAAAACAGATAAAGAACCAACAACAACCATAGCCAAATCACAATATCCAGAATCAGGCCACAAAAATGGAAACCCCTGCGTACAAGAAAACAATCAATCACACATTTAATAGCTATAAGGTCCTCACCTCTTAGACATGGTGGGATTTGAAAATCCGTTAAATTAATCGAGAGAGGCGGGAGGATCAAAACCCTAAACCTCGAATAAATTATTGTTGTTTTGAAATAAAAAACAAGAAAGAAGAATCAAAATCCAGAAATCTCTGTGAAGTATGATTGGAGTCCCGCCTGAAGGAGGGCGGTGTAGGGGGCGAAGGATAAGGAAATAGAAAAATTATAATTATGAGAAAAGATAGATTTGCGCTCAGAGATTTGGACGGTGAGCATAAAACAGCCTCAGTGACTGCAAGTCGCAGAAAAATGGTTGAAGCACAACAAACCAATCTAGCGCCGTTTCAGCTCGGTGGGTTAACTCGCCCGAGTCCGACCGTCCCCTTCCTCCCTCGGGCAGTGTCCCTGTCTGGCACATAATTTTTTGGGGAAATTTCATTGTAGGACCGCAAAAGATAATTAATTTCAAAAAGCCCCCAAAACTTTCTGAAATTTCACTGCAGGACCAAGGGGGCAAACTGATATTAATTTCACAAAGAAAATGACCCTATTGCCCCTCATGTGAACAAGTATGGGAGAACCCATTTGCAAGTGAGGTTAGATAATTTACAACATGTATAGATATATTTACAATTAAAATTAGTCCATTTACATATTACCTTCTTCACCTGAAGAATGTGTCTGGGTGAACAAGTGTGGGACAGCCCATTTGCAAGTGGACTAGACAATTTGCAACATACATATATTTATTTACAACTGGAATTAGTCCATTTACATGTCACTTCCTTCACCTGAAAAAGGTCTCCGTGAGTGAACAAGTGTGGGAGCGTCCATTTGCAAGTGGAATTAGTCAATTTGCAACATACATACATTTATTTACAATTAGAATTAGTCCATTTACATATCACCTCATTCACCTGAAAAAGGTGCCTGTAAGTGAATAAATGTGAGAGAGCTCATTTGCAAATGAAACTAGTCAATTTGCAACATACATACCTTTATTTACAACTGAAATTAGTCCATTTACATGTCACCCTGCAATAAGTATTATGAGAGGCAATAGCGTCATTTTCTTTGTGGAATTAATATCAGTTTGCCCCCTTGGTCCTGCAGTGAAGTTTCAGAAAGTTTTGGGGGCTCTTTAAAATTAATTGTCTTCTGCGGTCCTACAGTGAAATTTTCCCTAATTTTTTTAATATAGCATATAAATTAATATCTATATGTAAATATTATTTTTCAGAAATTATACCAAATCAAGTGCATTATTTATTGATGATATATTGATTGATTGGATATGTAGAACACTTGATTATTGGTTAAGAATATTTCCTCAATAAAAATAAAAACATCAACTATTATTTTTAATATCAATTTTTAGTGAAATTTCTTTTGGATTAATATCATTTTTAGTCCATAAAATTTATTCTCATTTTGATTTTAGTCTCCAAAACTTTAAATCAACAGCTTTGATTAATGAAATTAGATTCATTTTGGTTTGGCATAAAAAATTTTGCTTTTGAACCAAGGACCAAAACCAAAATAACGTTAAATTTTAAGGACAAAAATTACCTGCTTTAATTGTGAGGGGTCACAACCAAAATAAAATTAAATTTTATGATCAAAACTATTAATTTCAAATTTTACAGAATAAAATCAAAATGAAATGCCAAAACTAATACCTAGCGTTGACTACCTGCCATTGAAAACGAGATTAATGTAATCAATTAATCATTTGAGTCTCGTGACAGAATTTTGATTCAGTGTTTGCTGAAAGCAACTTGATTATTGATAAAATGGCCAAGGCTTCACTTAAGAAGATGTGTCATGTAGATTGAATTAGAAAAATGTTTGAGGATTCAAGATGCTGGATGAAGTCTCTTTTTCTTTCAAGTTAAAGTGCATTCAGCATCTCAAAATATTTTTTCGAGTGTATCTAATACCTTAAAGTATTTTGTAATGCATTCAACATTCAAAAAATTTTTTGGATGCTTGGATGCACCACAAAATACTCTAAGATGCTAAACGCACCTGAAAAAATATTTCAAAATACTAAATACACATTAACCCCTCTTTTCTTTCATGTTTTTGTTTTGCTTATCCGCTTTTTTCTTAAACTTTGGTGTTGTTATGCCTAAGCAATTAATATCTTGTTGCCTTTTGAAGAATTATTCTAATTAGGTTCAATAATGCTTGAATCTCATACAATCATCAAATAGTCATTCAGGCCAAAAAAAAAAAAAATCAAATAGTCATAAAAAAATGTTGTTTCTTTGTTGGCCCAAAAATTCGGGGGGAAAAAAAGTGACGTGCGGTCATTATGCAATATAAAAATAAGCTAACACTCAAGTCAACCATGCAAACTGCCTAAAGAGCGAGACTTATAGCGGAGCAGGGAACATAGTTAATACTTCTCCGGTCCTTAATATAAGACCCATTTAATTAATTTAATTAGATTAAGAAAGTTAGGTAAGTTAGTTAATTATAAGAAAAGTGACACATTTTTCCTAAAATACCATAATCATCTTTTTTAATACCCCTCTCCCTCTTCTATTTGATTATGATTGAGAGAGTATATATAGGAGTAATTTAGAGAAAATTGATAAATATGAAAAATGGGTCTTATATTTAAAACCAAAACCAACTCAAGAATTAGATCCTATATTAAGGACCAGAGGAGTATTTTAGGTTTTCAAAAAGTTAAAATCAGTTCTAAATGAACATGCTAATATTACAGATTAAAGACAAAAATAATGTTTATTAAAAAAAACAAATAATGTTAAAAATATTCTACGCATGATTTTACTTATTGAGGAGTAAAACAAACACTTAATTTCTATAAAGCTGTATTTCTATTCTTTTCACTCCAACTTCCTTCATGCTAAATAACTCTCAAAATAGATAGCACAAACTGTACTGTTCACGTGATGCATCGGTTCTATTTGTGAAGAGGACCACAGTCAATAACTGAAGAAAAGCTTTCCATTTCAGCTTCAATCTTAATATAACCTCACATCAAATATTAAGCAAATTTAACATTCCTTCATGCCAAACCAACTCCAGGGCTGTAAGGATCAAAAGAACCTTGCCATGGGAAATCTCAACCTGTAAAAGTAGGCTGACAAGTAACATCTTCGAAAAGATTGCAACCAGCAAAATATACAAACCGGCAAAGGATCCACAAAATAGAAGTGCAAGAGCCAAAAGCCTTCAGTTACAACTGACATTTTCCAATATGAAATGTAGATGCCGTGCATTAGATGTAAGGAATCACCTCCAAAACCTAATTAATCATAAACATTAAATAAAGTAAAACTAGTCATCCTCGTCCCCTTCACTATCTTCTTCCAAGTTAGATTGCATTATCATTGATAAGAAGGCTGCTTGCGAAGGATTTAATTCATCATCATCCCCAAAAGGGTCATCCAGCGATGCTGATAGATCCGCCATATCCAAAAAACCCATTTCATCATCAGAATCTTCATCATCAAAAAGTCTCGGTCCTGAACCAGAGGAAGCCAGCATATCTGATACAGCCATCATCTCATAAGGATCCATATCTTTAAAAAACTCTGATTCCCGCATGATGGAATAGAATTCACCACTTTGTAAATCAAATTCACTGAGCATATCTATCATTTCATACATATCCATATTATTTTGTGCTCTGGAGCGGCGACGACGTGGTGGCTTGCCATGTTTCCATGTCACTGAGCCTGGCTTCACAGTATGCTACAAGACCAACCATCAAAATAACTACAGGTACCACGATAATTCTTCTAATGAATAAGAAATTGGAAACGATCCTAGGCAAAACCGTAGTCCCTGATTCAGATGGGTACCGTTAACCCATATTACATAAACTCATGATCCAAGTATCACAAACGGTTCATGCTAAAATGTTTACAAACAATACAGAAAAATCCCACACAAAGGCTTTTTTTTATTTTATATAGAGTAACAATCAGATTGGAAACATTATTGTTCAGTTAATTAAGTGGACAATTCCCTATCTTTTCCTTCCCCGGGGGGGGGGGGGGGTTGGGTTGGTTTTCAAAAATTGTCCAAAGAAGAGTGCTTCATGCACTTGTCAGCAATCATGACAATCAACCATACACGGAGATGAGAGATGATAACTCTGTTACCTTATAGAAACACCTAGCTCCAAATGGACAGTTCCCATTTCCAAAGTCAAAATGCTTGCAATCAATCAACCTGACCAAGACAAGAGCACATTTAATAAAACATTCGAGCTGTTGCATCACCCAAAAAAGGAAGGGGGAAAAAAAAAGCTCTTTAGCTTTTAATGATTTATTGTTGAATTTACCTAACGTTCCACGTAATCAGATTGTTCCCTAGGTAACCTAATATATTGTGCCCAGAACTACATTGTAAATATAAACCAGTGCATGATAAGAAGAAAGCATGCATTTGAAAGAGAGGGTGCAAAAGGCATAAAGCAGCCAAGATAGGAAGGGAAATTTTTGGACAAGAAATCACAATTGGTTACCACAATTAAAGAGAAAATGAAATTAAGCGGTTAATAAGTTTAATGATAATGTTGAAGAAGATAACTGGGTAAGAAATTACTTGCAATTTGCCTTGTAGTTATCAATAATTTCCTGCTTTTCTTCCTTTGTGGAGTACCATATAGGACTTGGAATCACAAAATATGATAGCTTGCGACACACAGGGCAAGTCCTCACTGTATTATTGTTATTAGCAATTTGAAAGACATCCGCTTCAGAGTTCGAGGCACTGTTCCGCCAATTCCTGATACAGGATAAGCAGAAAGCATGGTCGCATTCAGGAAGCATCCCAAACTTACATTCAGAAGCTTTAGGCTTTGAAAGAACACGGTCCAAGCAAATATTGCACTCTATTTCTTGACTATCTTTTAATGCCTGATTGTATTTTTCCTTTTGTCACAAGAATTCAAATGATTCTCTCTCTCCCTTTGGTCAGCAGGATGCAAGCAATACTTTCTACAATACAGACACTGGTCTCCATGAATGAGCAAGCATTTTTTTCCCAAGGGACAGTTGGCGGCAGCATAGGTACAAAAGATATGCTTTGAAGGCATAGCATTACTAGATTCACCAACATCACCACTCCTCGGAGAATTCGCATGCTTAAGATGACCAAAGCTAGCAGAATTTGTATTCTTGGGGATCCACCGTGATTTTCCTCCGCTAGTATGATCTATGACAGACTTTGAAGACAGAGATTGCCGACCATTTTCTGAAGATGATGCAGAACTTGCCTGAGAAGCTTTGACATGTTTATATCTACATCGACTACCATAAGAGCAGTGTCCCTTCTGATAGAATGTGCAAATCTGCTCTCAGCAAATAAGACAAGTGAGAAACATATACAAATAAATTTTTGCATGGGATACATATACTATGGGCTATGGGATACTGATATTTCAAAATGAAACCATGTCATATCTGATGCATGTTTGACACATATCAAATATGATAAGTAACAAATTACAATCGTACGGAGATACTATTTTTATTTTATGATGTCTCATATCCAAGTCAGAATCCACTCTTTAAAGGAAACCAGTAAGGCAGTAAATTACATCAACTGGAGTATCCTGTACGTCATGAGAGTAATCACATTGCTCGCCTCTGAAACATTTTCCACGGGCATAGAACTTACAGACCCTATGAGGAATTAAGAAAAGAATTAGAATATATAAATTACCGGCACGAATAATCAAAGAGGAGTCTGCAATTCCAATGGAAAGATATAAAAAAACACAATGACATGATATCATACAAATTAAATCTCACAGTTTTGAACTTGCTGAAAATTCTGACATAGTATAAATTGTAAAGTTTCAACCAACGATAGTAACGTAAAGTTACAGCAAACGCGTGCCAAATAATGAGGTCATATATTAACCCACAATAATCCCTCAACAGGCATCCATTCTTTTAATATCAAACAAAGTGGAAGAAAAGCAATCAAATAACTACACGAAACGCTTCTTCCAACATCGTTCATGATGTCAATCGATAAGGATCCATCCTCCATCAAGAATTCGGAGAACACTGCCCAATCGATATCCCCAAGCCAGGTTCATTCCACATATATCAGCAGCCTAAATCATCCTAGAAACCAAACGGCCAGCATGCAAAATAAACGGCAAATACTTAAATGAACGAATGAACATCACAAAATCACAAGAAAAGACACCAACAGCGACGAAAGTAGGCAACATTCGAAACCCCATTTCCCAAGAGAACAACGAAGGATTAATCAATTAAACCTAACAATTATATACAAAATTTCACCAAATAAGACCAGAACAAAGATAAATTGAAACTCTTGCCTCTGAGACATAATGATCAACTGAAAAAGAGCGAGCGGGCAAGCGCAAGGAGGATCAGGAGTTTAAAATTGAAGAATAATAGGCCTTAGAGAGATGGAGATGGATATGAAGCGCCGATAATTTCGCAGATTAAAGGCCTGACGCCTTGACCTAAGCAAGAAGTAAAGCTTGACCCATTTGAAAGATGATGAGCGAGGGTTTTTGGCGGTTAGGATCCTATACAAATACGAGCACCAGAAGGCTTTTATTTCAAGCTTGAACACTCCCGTCCGTATGAAGTTACCAAAACGCCCCCACCGTGCGGTTTCCGCGTGAAGACTACGCGCTCTGTGGCGGAAAAAAGAAGTTAAGGACTGGATTTTCTTTCGTAACAAACAAATTCAATACAAATTTCCGAGCATTAATTAATTCTTTTCAGATTTTAAAAAACTGGGCTGTTTGGTATTTGTCACGTCGTTACGGAGTGAATGCGATTTGATGTTGATTTGAAAATTTATTTACCATGATATCTTATTGATTTATGGTTATCTTCATTGATACTACCTCATGGTTTAATTATAAGACCCAGTTAACTAATTTAAGGAGATTAAAGAAACAAGTTAAGTTAGTTATTTGTAATAAATAGGTGTTGCCTTTTCTAAAATATCCTTACTAATCAACTATATTAGCTAGAATTATAATTATTAGAAGGACTATCTTAAAAAAAATGCATAAATATGAGAGACAAAGTGGATTGGAGTCTTATATTTAAGATTAGAATAAAAGTCAAACGAAATCTTATATCAAAGATCAAAACTTTACTAAATATATATGTTGGCAAAAAAAAAAGTTTACTAAATATACACACACAAGTATGGTTTTTCTAAAAACTTATCACGAAAGAAAAAGAATACTTAAAGGCTTGGAATTGGAGCTCCTCGGCCCATTAGGTGTATCAGGCCTTTGCTTAGTCTACTTACAATCTAAATATTCTCTTTCTTGTTTGGTAAAAACCAAGCCAACCAAGAAGATGAGTTTAATAGAAGAATTTAGTCCCTCGTAGTATAACAAATTAATGTTTAAATTTTTATTAGAAGAAGTACTCATATTTAGTTTTTGACAGTGTTTCGAATAAGATTGTATCTAATAAAAAAATATTTATGTGTAGGAAAAAAAGCAAGCCAAAATATTTTCTTTATGAAAAATATTATGAGTGTGATTTTCCCCAATGCACTTTTCAATTAGATGTTTTTTCCCCAACCAATTAGAGAGCGTTTGAATTTTGAACACTATTGTATATTTCGTTCACTACTCTACCTGCACTATGAACTTGGCCTTTCTCCTGATCTGTTATGTTATGTCTCCTCCTAATAATAATAGGGGGTATTATTACTTTATGTTGAAATAATATGATCTTCTAATCCTAAATATAAAAGTTTATTAATTCTAAATATGTAGAAGACTTTATTTTACTCTATTTCTTAATATATTTTTTTCAAGCTGTTCTTACTGATTTCATACATTAAAAGAGAGGTTCTATATGCTTCTAAGGTAAATAATCAAAATATATTTTTATATAAATAATAAACTTGAATTAATTTTTTAATACTGTAAATTAGTTATTTGAAACAGTATGTGCATAGCAAGATTATGGGGGTGTTTAGTTGAAAATCAAACCATGATTTTATAAGTAATTTTATGATGTGAAAATTATTACGTAAGAAGAGTTTTGTCTTAATTTGCATGAAAATAATTTTTAAAAGTACTTTTTGAATAAATCAAACATCCCGTCGAGAATTGCAACGTTATATGCATAGAGGTAAATGAAGGAACACATACATTAGGGCAGATTAAAGTTTGTTACGTAATTGATGGGGTTTTGTGACTCCATACTCTAATTGTAATTGTAATACATGTTCAGAAAAAATTATAATTGTTATAACCTTAAGCTTTTTTGTTTGTTTTTTGCAATAATAATACCCTTAAGTTTGAGAATATAACCCATTAACGTCCTACAATATAATACCACAAAAATGACGTAATTAGCTACATATTAATAAGTTAGTGTATATATAGTTTATAGCAATAAAAACCTGATTATGTATATTTTGAGAGAGCACATAACATTACCAAGGTCTTCAGCCCTTGGAAATCATGTCATTTTTTGTAACCAAGCTCATAAAGATTTTTGAAAAGGAAAAAAATGTTTGAGGGATTAAACATTGATCTACCATAAAGATTTTCTCAAGAACGTGTAGATGAGCATACATTAATCAACGCATATATATACATGAGGAAAAATCACGGTACATTCAATCACATGCATGAAGAAAAAGTACAAAAAACCTTTTTTAAAAACCATATTTAAGCAGAAGAAATTAAACTAGACACTAGCAATATCACAACATATATAAAAAGACAATAATTAATATCTAAGAGTATATATATAATACATGATTCTATTGTTTTTGGTTCCTATTTCCAGAAGTGACACTGAGTCCCGACCAATTGGAGTCTGAGTCCGAGTTAAATCACTGATTCCTAACAGTTTTTTATTCACAAACCTCAAACTCACAAGATCTTAATCAAACTTGGAGAGAAGAAGTCAGGTGTAGTAGAACCTCCTGGAATAGGAAACATGTACATATGCAGATAATTAACTAGAGGATAATTAATGAGTTGAGCCTTAGTTTTAATTATCTTCACATTGAGTTTTCAGCATCATGTTCAATCTCAGAATTTGCTTCATCTTCTTCCAGCAAGCTGCAATTATCAAGGCCAGGAAAAGCTCCGCCATGGCCATGGCCAAAAGCCCTAATGTGGTCTTTAAGAGACCTCTTGTGTTTGAAGTCAGAACCACAAAGGCAATACCAAATTTTGCCACAGTTCTTCTCGTGGGTCCTCCAATCACCTTTCACAGCGAAAGCTTTGCTGCATTTTCTGCACATGTAGGGTTTCGTGCCGTGCTTCCTCTTGTAATGAGTTTGCAGGGTTCTGAAATCCTTCAGAGGCCTTGCCCTTGGATGCTCTATGTTGTGCTTGCAGTTTGGCGCACAACAGAAACATGGTAGCCTTAGCATTGCCGTAGGTTGTGTTCCTCTTAGAGAATCTGGACCCTTTCTGTACTGAGACCCATGCCCCCACATATGCATCTGCAAAACCTTATAGTGTTAGTGTCATAGTGGCATTTCTCATGTTTTAGACATAGTCTAAGCTAAATGGCATCCAATAACAGGTTTTATACATGGATATGTAGAAGATTGAGAGGGTGTTTGGCAACCCTCAAAAGTGCTTCTGAGAAATACTTTTTCGTAAAACGAGACAAACTCCTCTACATGTTTACTTCTTAAACCATAAAAACACTTTTGAAATTATGGATTGATTTCCATTGAAATACCGCCTGAGTCATATTTTTCTAACTGGTGTTAGAGATAAGAGATAAAGAGAATAAAATATATCTAGAGTCTACTAATTCTCTCTTTTTACTCACTTCTAATTAATTTCCCATCTCTAAATCCATATATATTATGCGCTTACCAGCTTAATTTAAAAGATAAAATATGTTAGATGCTTGCATTAACATGACACAATTCTTCAATTAGAAATAAATATTTGGCACGGGGTGCCTTGCTCTAATAGTAAAGCTAGTCCCCTTGCATGGGGGAAGGTAGAGTGTTCTATCCCCACAGGGCAAATTTCGCCTCCTTTACAATTCAAATAATAATAAAAAAAGAACATTTCCAAGTTTATGATCTGACATGTTTCTGATATACTACCTCCTGTCTTAATTATAAAACCTCATCTATAATCTATAATCTTAAAACGAAGTCTGATGATTATTACCAAAAGCAGTATAGAATGTGTTGGCTTTTGTAAGCTTTATAAGTAAGGTGTTTATATAAAGCTAGCCAATTTCTAAGTCCTTGTGGCTTCATAAGTTGAAACTTGTAATGCTTATTGGAACCCGCATATCATAGTTCTTATTTGCTTCCAATAATTAAGAGATAACCACAAATTTAAGCTTCTTTTCAAGGGATTAAGAATGATTCAGAAACTGATCCAACCAGTAATAATGTTATGTAGAGCTAGAAAGAAATGAGATAATATAGGGGTTTTGTTTTTTTCGTAAATGAGTCAATAATACTCCATATTTACACACACGTTCACATGATACGCTTTTACCGATAACTTGAAGTCTCCGTACGGTGTTTGGAAACAAGTTTCATTTAGTTCAGAAACCAAACAGGTTTTCTGTATTCTAGATCTGGGCTCTGATGAGAACAGGCTTCAAGAATAATGACTTCATATAGATGCAGGAGTAGTACTACTGCCTTTGGCAGAGAAAAGTGAGCTGATGAAAGACAAAGGCTTGATGAAGTAATTAAGTAACATCTCAAACAGACCCTATATATATATATATATCATCATTAACTGGTAATTACTAATTTGTTTTCCTTTCCCATATTGCACAGTTCTCAAGGTCACCTTCAAACAGAAGAAATTAACATCTCAAAGTTCAAACAATTACTCTAACCCTTTCCATGAAACGTAATCAAAGTGCTGAGCCTGGGTATGTGAGACCGAACAAATAGTCACGTTTAGATATGAAAAAAGAAAAGAAAGAAAACCAAACAAACACATGCAAAAAAAGGGTACAAATCAAAACATAATAATGGCCTGGAACTGTATTGTAACCGTAGTGTACAGTAGTGTTTAAAATAAGTAAAAAATAGGTATTTTCATACCAGTTAGAACATATAACTCTGTGGTTGTGATCGGGAAGTCGTAAAGGAGACGTATGTGTAAATGAGTGGGAAAAAATACGGCCGAAAGTACAATTATATAATTCGCATCACGGTATCCACAACAGTAGAAACAAATAATCAAAATTTAAAGCTAGCAAGCACTTTCAGTTCTCACATATCTAAACTGGAGAAGGAGAGTACCTGAAGATTATTGTATCTGTTGAAGGTTTTGGAACAGACAGGGCAAGAGAACTGTGTAGGGCCAATGAGAATCTGAGAAGGAGTAGGGATCCAGTATTGGCCTTTGGCCAAGGGATCAAAAGAGTAGTGCCCAGAAATGACACCACCTCCACGACCCCCACCACCACCACCAACTTCTTCTTTCTCCATGGTCATCGTTTCAATGGAGGAACAGGAGTTTGAAATCTGAGTATTACTACTGCTACTGCTAGTGGTAGTATTAGTAGCAGTAATGGAGGGGAGTCCTATGCGTAGAGCAACAGTCACAGTTTCATCGCTGGAAGTCTCAGCCTCTCTATCTAGAATTAATGGTTCCTTACTATTGCTTGAAGGTTGTTCAGCTGGTGCTTGCTTGTACTGGTTTGTGAGAAGACTGAGATTGTTCAGCAGAGGAAGGGCTTCTCTTACAGCAGGAGGAGGAACAGAAGGAGGAGGGGGTTGGAATTGAATGGAGAAACTACTGTAAGAATTGGAAGGGTAGAAGTGAGGATGGAGGGGGATGAAGTTGAAGGACTTGGAGAAGAAATTGGAGGGAGGATCTGTCATGATGATGAAGAAGAAGAAGAAGAACGGTGAAATCAACCAGTTGTGGTGATGAATGGTTTTAGGTGTTATATATATATAATATAATGACTATATATAAATATCGCGTGTAAGAAGTGTGTGTGACAGCGACATAGAGAGAGGGGGGAGGGAGGGATGATGATGAAGATGAAAGAAGAAGGGAAGGAAAGAGAGGGAAATAAGAAATTACCCGATGATGGGAAAAGCGAAAACCAAGAAGGGAAAAGAAAACAAAGGGACAAAGTAAAAGCGGAGGGCAGAGTCAGAGGTTAGACTAGCAGCTTGTCTCCCCAAAAAGCTTGAGAATTGTGGCTGTTGGGTTGCACCACCCGCACTCCTTAATTACATGGCTTGACCAGCATCAAAAACACATGCTTCTTCCTCTAACATGCTATTCTTAATATAATACTCCCTCTGTTTCTTATTATAAGAGACATTTGATACTTATGGCATGTTCTTATATATAAGAGACACTTACAAGTTGTCTCTACTTTTTTGTTTTAATTTACTATTTTGTCCATATTTATTATCTCCAACTCACACTCTCTCTCCCTCTCACTTCTCTTTCTTTTAATAATTTAATTGTTCTCTCTCATGCTCTCTCTCCTTATTAATGAGGGCATTTTTGGAAAAAAAATTATACTTTTTACACATTAATTGTTCTTAACTAATTTTAACTGTTTTTTTAATCAACGTACTTCGGTTATTTGTCTCTTATAATAAGGAACGGAGGGAGTAGCTATCTAAGTACTTCTCTTGTCATATTTACAAGGCAGAAAAAGAAGATCTTTTTTTGTCCTATTTATAGAGTGTTAAGAGAAATTTTTTACATGAATGTACAATTGTATCTCTTATTTATTATTGTGTTAACTTTGTTTACATGTGGTATAATGTATATTAAATAGGAAAAAGTTAGAAAGTTGTTAAATTTTAAATGAAAGTTAATGAAATTTAAGGTTTTTTTGGTTTATGTAAAACATGCTGAAAGTGACTTATAAATAGGACCAGAGGAGTACCAAATTTTAGGAGGTATTTGGATATCCTCAGAAGTATTTTTTAAAAGCATTTTTTTTACAAATTGAGACAAACTCCTTTACATATTTACTTTGTATACTGTAAAATCACTTCTAAAACGTCTTGTTTGGTATCTATTCAAATACTCTCAATCTATTTTATCTTTCTTTCGTATTTATTATTTTTCTAAACTAATTTACTTAACTTATAAAATTATATAAATAATCTAATATTATATAAGGTTAATATATAAATTTGCCCTAAAAATTTTTACTTATATGTAGTGGGTTGCAAATTTATTCTGAAAGTTTCAAATCATAATAATTTTATTCCTTACTGTTAAAAATGTTAATGGTTAATATCTCTGTTTTACACTCAAGCTAGATTAATTAAAATCAAATGTGACTTCCGAAGAGCAGGTGGTTTGATTAAAAGAAATGAAGTAGAAAGCTCTAATCAAACTTTTTATCCAAGCTTTTTGGTCTTCATGACTTGTTACTATGTATGCTTCAAGAAATTAATACCATTTCAACAGAACCCAGACTCATGGGACCATTCGTCTCTATTTTATTTTCTAGATGACTCAGCATGAAATTATATATCCTATCCCAAATGAACAGTTATATGATAAAGTTCAAAGTTTGAACATCATGTTAAGGATAGTTGTTGAAAGTGAGACATTACAGTTACAAGGAGTAAAAGGCAACGGCGTATAAAAAAGAAAGACACATCTATATCACATATTTTAGGGAGTGTTTTGCAACCTTCAAACCATGGTTTCATAAGCACTTTTCCACAAAACGAGACAAATTTCTCCACGTATTTACTTCGTAAACCGTAAAAACACTTCTGAAATGATAATTTTTGCTCTTTCCCTTCTAAGCTGGCAAGACTAAGCTAAGTATATATACAATAAATTGTATTTCCTTCCATCCTCATTATAAGAGCACAATAACAACTTCGTATAAAATAATAAAATTAATTATTTGTCATAAAATATTAAAATTATCTTCAATAAAAAATATTAGTTAGGGTAGTTTAGTGAGTTAATTAAGATTTTGTAATCGGTTATTATATTATGAAATACTCCTCCAATCCTTAATTAAAGACTTATTTAACTAATTTGATTATATTAAAGAAATTAGGTAAGTTAATTAATTATAAGAAACATGACATGTTTTTTCTAAAACATCATAATTATCTTTCTTAATATCCTCCATCCCTTTCATGTTTAATTATGATTGAAGAAGTATCAATAAAAATAATTTTAAAAAATTAATAAATATAAAAAATAGGTTTAATGTTTAGAACTAAAATCAACTTAACAATATTAAAATATTAAAACATAGGAGGAGTACTATGCTGAAAAGTTGCTTATTATAATAAGAACGAAAATGGTGGGAAGAAGTGTGTGTATACATATATGTATGTATATGTGCGTGCGTGTGTGTGTATAGATTATGTGGATATTAATACATAGGCCAGCATTTGCCTGGGTAAGCGGGTTTAGTGTTCCTTACAATTGCACACATATTCTTAATACTTTAGTTAATTCCACCATTCTTCTATTTCAGTCAACGACACACTCATATATTAAAGAGTTTACAGGTTTTAGAGCCGTTTAATTAGTTTTGATGATTTCTAAATCACTAGTGGCTTAGTACGTAGTAGTAGCTTCTACTACCTGCTTCTTCTTCTCTTTTTAGTGTCGCTTACGACTACAATTAGTCATAAGTTCATCTTCCTAAGCACGAAATTAATTAATCTAGTTTGAGGTTTATTAAAAGAAAATCTATATGCATTGGACTTTTAACTCCGCAATTCCTTGCACGTGTGTTTGCATAGACCTAATTATAGCTTTCAGATCGTACGGCGTTTGATCAGCTAACGTATTTATGATTCATAAATGGTATATTTTTTGAAACAAAAAATTATCAATATACAACACTTTTGACGTCAATCAAAAGGACGAGGAAAAGGGGAAATTAATATGAATTCCAAAAGAAAAAGAAAATCTTTAAAAAAATCTCAATGATGAGTGAGGCGCATCGGTCATGTATCCTTTCTTATATTATACTCTCTCCGTTCCTTATTATAAGAGACAAATAACCGAATTACGTTAATAAAAAAAATAGTTAAAATTAGTTAAGAACAATCAATGTGTAAAAAATATAATTTTTTTCCAAAAGTACCCTCATTAATAAGAAGAGAGAGCATGAGAGAGAACAATGGTAAATTATTAAAAGAAAGAGAAGTGGGAAGAAGAGAGTGTGTGAGTTGGAGACAATAAATATGGGTAAAATAGGAAATCAACACAAAAAAGTAGAGACAACTTTTAAGTGTCTCTTATATATAAAAACATGCCATATGCATCAAATGTCTCTTATAATAAGGAACGGAAGGAATAATGTGTTAATTTTTGTTTTAGTAATTGTATTCTTTCTTTGGGTTGATGTGGTGACTTCTTTATTGAAATAAAAAAAAATGTCAGCTACAGATTAGAATTGAAGTTATGTTTTTGACAACTTATCTTTGTTTCAGTAGAATATTTCAATGGCATGTTTTGGTCCATTTTCTCATCAGCTAGAAAAAGTGAGCCAACAGTTCAGGTGCAAAATACTATTATTACTGTCTGGACAATTAGACATCCGACCTATAATCACAATGATCTGATTACAAGAACGAGTTCTACTAAGTATGAATAGATGAATCTCAGGATCACAAAAAAAGGTTATTTTAGAACAAATATCAAAATCTAAATTATATAAAAGAAGTTTTGTTTGCTTTTTTACATTATATAAATAACAATCTTATTTATTATTTTAACATTATGTATACTGAATATTGATTAGAGGACTTCAATAAAGGCCAACTCAGAGCACACTTCATCCTCACCTTTTTGACGAGCATCATAATTGACCGTCAACATTAATTTTGAATTATTTGAGTTATTTTAATTTTTCAAAATTTAAAACTATTTTTACTTAACAGATACAAAATTTAAAATGAAGATAATCTTTATATACTACTTTTTTAAAAAATAAATTTATTATTAAAATATAAATTAAAAATATTAAATCTAAACTATTGATACCAAATTTGAATGATTCAGATTACTTTGTAGGAACAGAAAATTAATGAAAAGTGCATGCATGTGATAATTCCTCAAGATTGAAGATATAAACAGGATGGATTAAGAGATGTCAGCATTAGGAAAGCAGCCAAATATTGATACGAAATGTCGTTTTTAAAAGCACATAATAATTCCTATTTTTATTAAACAGGGTCAGTACGGAGTCAGTGATAAAGAGGTGTACTGAATGAAACGAACCACCGTATAGTTTAGAAACAAGAAAATGACAAGGCCGGTTGTCGTTTCATTCTGATATGAACTCCACTCGCGCGTAGTAGTAACGACAACGAACAGAATTAGGTGACGGTGGATCAGTAATCAATACATCATCATCAATTATATAATAGTATAGTACTAATTTTTAATTCTAGGCATGCCCTATAAATAGTACCATTCCGTAAGCTTTGCTTTTTAAAAGGACAAAATACAATAAAGTCCCAAAATTAAATAATTTTTTTTTTGAAATTATCAAATTATCCTGAAGTGTCAAAATATCTTATTACAAGAGATTTCAATTATTTAATTATCAAATTATCTTTATCTTTTTTTAAGTATGTATTGATAATTGAAAGTGTAATCATTATTGTTAATGACCGACTTTTTAGTTATCAATACATATTTTTTAAAAATAAAAATAATTTTAATAATTAAACAAATAAAATCTCTTACAATAAGATTTCTTAAGACTTTAGAATAATTTGATAATTTTAAAAAAAATTTATATTTAATTCTTTTGATTGCGATCTTGTTACAATTTTTCTTTTTAAAAAGTTAGAAGTGATAAGTTTAATTTCGCTCATAATTTTAAGTTATTTGTATCTACTCTTTTAACAAGAAAGAGCTAAATAACCAACTTAAAGATG